CCCATTTTGGAGAGTCTATGGGGCACTGACTTTTCAGAGCTTCCTTGGGTCACAATTCACCACGAGAGCCGGGAAAGAAGCCACAGGACCTCGCCGCCAGGGGAGCAAGTTCACATTCTCGGCTCTGGACAGACACTGCAGGAGGCCCCTCTGCCCTTGACAGATGTTAGGGTGCGGGGCGGACCCCCATTCATTGGCATCAGCATTCGTCACCTGGAAACCCCTCGCCTACTGAGCCCCGAGGTGGAGGGCGGCGTCCAGGCGGAGAGGCCGGGGTCACACTGACCCCACGGGGGCCTGTCACTCAGAGGAGGGTCATCAGGAGCCTTCCCGGCTGGCGCCGGGCTGGGCGCTGGGCTGGCCCCTGAGCAGACGGGCCTCGGTCCTCTCTCCACTGAGCTGTGAACAGACTCCTACACCAGCAAGGACAGCAGCAGGAGGCGAGGGCAGGAGGGGCCCCGGAGCCCATCCTGATGGCCGCAGCTCGGATCTGAGAATCCGGAGGCCAGGGAGCCTCAGTTGTCCTAGGATTCCTGTGCCGCACCCCTCCCCCCCGCCGCGCCCCCTGTCCACGGCAGGCTGGGCCCGAATCCCCCAGAGCGCTGGGGTGGTGGGGGGGTGGTGGTCTCAGACCCTGGCAAGGCGGACATGAACGTAGCCTTCTCGGGACAAGGGATTTGGCAGTCACCCGCCGCTCCTTCCCTGGGACACTCCCACGTGCTAAGGACAGGACGTCGCAAAGGGAGGGGGCCTCATGCGCTCTGCAGGCCCACATGGTCCGGGGCACCGTCCCCTGCAGTACCCGAGGGCCGCCTTGGTCCTGCGCCTTCGTTTCCGGGCTGCTGTACGGAAGGACCAGCTGGGCGGCTGGGAAATCAGCAGTGGATCCCCTCAGAGTCTGGAGGCCAGATCCAGAGTCCAGGCGTCGGAGGTCCAAGTGTCTCAGGATTGATTCCTGCGAGGGTCTCGGAGGAGAAGCCATCAGGGCCTCTCTCCCAGGGGCTCTGGGAGCTCTGAGAGTCCTTGCTGTTCCTTGGCTTGTAGATGCGCCATCTTCAGTGGCCTCCCCGTGTGTGTGTGTGTGTGTGTGTGTGTGTGTGTGTGTGTGTGTCTTTGTGTCTGAATTTCCTCTTCTTCTAAGGACACGAGTCCTTGGCTCAGGGCCCACCCTGACCCAGCGTGGCCTCGCCTTACCCCGAGGGCATCCGCAAAGGCTCTCCTCCCAAACGAAGCCACGGCCACGCGCCCCGGGGCGGAACGTGCCGTTTTGGAGAGAAGGTCCTAGGCCCAAACTCCTGCCCTCACAGAGCCGCCTCAGGGACGGGTCTTGGCTGGAGCAGGTCTGAGTACGGATTTGCATTCCCGGAGCGTCTGGCTGGGGAAGTGACCCAGCAGATCTGGGACAGCGGGGACGGCGCCAGGTAATAGCCCTGAGCTGCCCACCTCGCGGCTGGGAGCACCGGCTGCCCCCTTCCTCCCCTGCCCGGTCTGCTCTCGTGAATGCTTTTCCATAAAACATCTGAATAAATATCTGGGGGCAGTTTTCCCAGGATTACTCACAAAGGAATTTTAAAATGTGCTTATCAGATAACAGCGAATTGTTACTTCATCAGCCCCCGAGGAAGCAAGAAGCATCTTTTAGCCAAAGGATTGTTTCCCTGATTCAAAGACATCTGCGTGTCCAGTGTTGTTAGCGGCCCTCCCAGCCCCAGGAGGAAGGGCTTCTGTTGTGTGTTTTTAGGAAACCTGGGGGGTGGGGGAAAAACAGACCAATTTCTGTCCGTGACTGGAAGTGGACCTAAAGGACAGGCTGTTTCTGACTAAGTTAACGTAGGTGAACGCAGAGTGCAGAATGGTGAGGAATGACTTCATCAGGGGCTCCTCCTCCCCTTGCCTGGATCTTACCTTCCAAGTGATCTCTCTCCTGTGATGCACGTCAGTGCATCCACTTGGCAAGGAGAGCGGATGTTTGTGCAGCATCTATAATCACCGTTTTTTGTGGTTCTTTACAAAACACGGGGAAACCCCGGAATCAGGGCACAAAGCCTCCTGCCCTTGGGTAGTGGTTCTGACTCGGAGGAGACGTGGCTGCTTTGTGGAGAAGGACTGGAGCCACCGTTAAGGTTAACGCCCCTTGAAATGGGTACAGACCTGCACATTTCTTAGAAAATGTGGCCCAAGTGCACCAGCTTTTCTCCAGACACACGAACAGACTAAACCCTGCTTTATGGTCACAAATAACTTTGAAAACTGAGAACTAATTAGAGCTATGACTCTGCACTTGTCACTTTTCTCCTTCATGTCCTCAAGCCTCGAACAAGCAAACATGCATGTCAGAGAAAGAGCACCCCGCCAGATGCCTCTGAGAAATGTTTCGCACGCTGTGTTCTTTTGGAGGTTTACAATGCCTGGTGTGTGTTAAAGGCACTGACAAGTCCTGCAACAGTGAAGACTGCTCAAGTTTATTTAACCCTATTCCTCCTAATTTTTTTTTTATTTAACCTGGGAATGTTTTTATCTAATTCTTAAGAGTTCGCTTTGGAAACATTGCTCTAGGAATCTTTGCTTGTAGGTAATTTACCCCAGCCTACCATGCTTTGCTAAAGAAACTGGCGTTTCAATCTGCCATTTACTCTTATCGCCCTTTCTTCCAGCAATGCCAGGAAGCGATGCCGGAGAGCCCCGGGGACCTGTGGGCAGGGGGATGGTGTTGGTTTCACCGTGAAAACCAAGCCTGGAATGAGCAGGAGCCCCTGAGGGAGCTGGGAACCGGGGCTGGGCACAGTCCTCGTGTACCTGAGAGACAGAGCAGAACGGCCCCAGGCGTTATGTTAAGCCTATTGCTTTCCAAACTTGTTTCATAGACATGGTTGACTTGGGGGTCGGTTCCTGTAGGGGGGAGCTGGGGCCTCGCCTGCCCATTGGCATCCAAGGTTCTCCATCAGAAAGATCGGAGGGAGGTTGGCCGGCTCCCGGGCACACGGTGGGGTCTCCTCATTGCCGCCCCCGTCCGGAGGGACACGCCCTGGGCAAGTCCACCTCTGAGCTCCCGGCCCCTATCTTTTCTCTCTTGTTGTTTTCTTCTTCTTTGTGTGTTTTGCGCCCCTGTCTTTTCATGGAAGGACCGAGCTGGTGTTCCTGCTCTGAACTCGGGACGCATGTGTGTGCCGGAGTGGAGAATGGTTCACCTTCTGTGCCTGTCCCTGTGTGTGTGTGTGTGTGTGTGTGTGTGTGTGTGTGTGTTTGCACACGTGTGAGATGAGGGTCATAATAAACACCCGTGTGTGTTTATCGAGATGAATGGCTGGCGGGACTGGCTTTCACTCGGCTGCACCCCCAGAGCAGCCTCAAAAGGACCCCCATCTTGGGAGCTGATTGTCTGCTGACTTTCAAACAGGCAAAGGCGAACGCAGGTACAGCCTTGCCATTGAAATTAGCAACAGGCCCTGGAGTTGGGACACAATAAAGAGGCGAACGCCAGATACACAGCGTTTTAAAAAACAAACGGATTTTCCAGGGACACAGAAATGGCATTTCCTTTTCATTTTATTGAGAAGAAAAGAGAGCCGCCTCTACTTAGCGGCGATGGGGGAACAGCCACCGTCCCCTCTCCTGTGAGTGAATGAGGAGAAGCGGAGCTCCAGGGAAAATGCACGAGGACCCACACGTGGGCCGACAACGGCTCTCCCCAGTCACATGCACAGGGACTCGTGGTGGGATCTCGCCGTGTTCCGGAACAAAGCACACACAGGGTGGCTGCCAGCTCCCACCACGAAGCGGCCTGGGCGGGGCTGGCGTGTCCCAGCGCCACTCTTCACGCGCTGCGGTGGGGGCTCCTGTCCTCAGAGGCACCGGCGCCTGGCGTGGCTGCTCCGTGGGGGGGTGACCGCTCACCGGGGCCCTGCAGCCAGGGTGACGCCTGGCGCCGCCCTCGGAGACCACGGCTCTGTTTCTAAAAATGAGGTACGGCCCGGCCGGCGTGACTCAGTGGTTGAGCATCGACCCCTGAACCAGGAAGTCAGGGTTCGATTCCCAGTCAGGGCCCAGGCCCGGGTTGCAGGCTCGATCCCCAGTGTAGGGTGTGCAGGAGGCAGCCGGTCCATGACTCTCTCTTGTCATTGATGCTTCTATCTCTCTCTCCCTCTCCCTTCCTCTCTGACATCAATAAAAATCTATTTTTAAAAAGGGGAGGTCACTGTCCATAAAGTGTGCTAGATGCCCACCTCGTGCCCAGAGTTCACTACGGCCAAGACCAGCCTGGGGGCGGGGGGGCTCAGTGGTGTGAGCATCGGCCGTGCCCTCAGTGTTGGTGATGGCCGGCACTTGGAGGAAGAGCTGGGAACAGAGTGTGCGGAGCCCCCGTGCTTTCTGACATGAATCCTCTCCTTTCTTGCAGATAACTTGTTCAAACCCAAAGAAAGGTGCATTTCGGAGAAGGAGATGCACATGCGATCCAAGAGGTACCTGGTGGTCGTGAGGGGGGTGGGAGGGAGGGCCGCTCCGTGGGTCCCGTGCTGCCCCGAGGGCCAGTTTCTGGTCCCCGTGTAAGGTCTGAGGTCGTCTTGGTCCGTGAACGTGGAAAGCTGGCTCAGACTAAGTGTGGCCGTGGGACTGTGCCATTCGTGGAAAATCACTTAGTAAAGTGGTGGGTCCTGGATCCTGAGCCGACCGGTGACTGACTGGTCTCTCAGCGATG